TTCTTCTTGGAATCCTCTGCAGCCGTTCTTTCCGGGCTACTTTGCCTTTGCTTCTTCTTCTTTTTGGGATCCTCTGCAGCCTTTCTCTCCGGGCTACTTTGCCCTTGTTTCTTCTTCTTGGTATCCTCTGCAGCCTTTCTCTCCGGGCTACTTTGCCTTTGCTTCTTCTTCTTCTTGGGATCCTCTGCAGCGTTTCTCTCCGGGCTACTTTGCCTTTGCTTCTTCTTCTTTGGATCCTCTGCAGCGTTTCTCTCCGGGCCACTTTGCCTTTGCTTCTTCTTCTTCTTACTGGGATCCTCTGCAGCCTCTCTCCGGGCTACTTTGCCTTTGCTTCTTCTGCTTCTTGGGATCCTCTGCAGCCTTTCTCTCCGGGCCATTTTACCTTAGCTTCTTCTTCTTCTTGGGATCCTCTGCAATGTTTCTCTCCGGGCTACTTTGTCTTTACTTCTTCTTCTTCTTGGGATTTTCTGCAGCCTTTCTCTCCGGGCTCTTTTGCCTTTGCTTCTTCTTCTTCTTGGGATCCTCTGCAGCCTTTCTCTCCGGGCTACTTTGCCTTTGCTTCTTCTTCTTCTTCTTGAGATCCTCTGCAGTCTTTCTCTCCGGGCTACTTTGCCTTTGCTTCTTCTTCTTGGGATCCTCTGCAGCCTTTCTCTCCGGGCTATTTTGCCTTTGCTTCTTCTTCTCCTTCTTGGGGTCCTCTGCAGCCTTTCTCTCCGGACTCTTTTGCCTTTGCTTCTTCTTCTTGTTCTTGGGATCCTCTGCAGCCTTTCTCTCCGGGCTTTTTTGCCTTTGCTTCTTCTTTTTCTTGGGATCCTCTGCAGCCTTTCTCTCCGGGCTACTTTGCCTTTGCTTCTTCTTCTTCTTGGGATCCTCTGCAGCCTTTCTCTCCGGGCTACTTTGCCTTTGCTTCTTCTTCTTCTTCTTGAGATCCTCTGCAGCCTTTCTGTCCGGGCTACTTTGCCTTTGCTTCTTCTTGGGATCCTCTGTAGCCTTTCTCTCCGGGCTACTTTGCCTTTGCTTCTTCTTCTTCTTGGGATCCTCTGCAGCCTTTCTCTCCGGACTACTTAGCCTTTGCTGCTTCTTCTTGGGGTCCTCTGCAGCTTTCTTTCCGGGCTACTTGGCCTTTGCTCGTTCTTCTTGTTCTTGGGATCCTCTGCAGCCTTTCTCTCCGGACTTTTTTGCCTTTGCTTCTTCTTTTTCTTGGGACCTCTGCAGCCTTTCTCTCCGGGCTACTTTACCTTTGCTTCTTCTTCTTCTTCTTGGGATCCTCTACAGCCTTTCTCTCCGGGCTACTTTGCCTTTGCTTCTTCTTCTCCTTGGTATCCTCTGCAGCTTTTCTCTCCGGGCTATTTTGCCTTTGCTTCTTCTTCTTCTGGTATCCTCTGCATTCTTTCTTATCTCTCTCGGGCTATTTTTTTTGCTTCTTCTTCTTCTTTCTTGGGATCCTCTGCAGCCTTTCTCTCCGAGGCTACTTTGGGCCTTTGCTCTTCTTCTTGGGATCCTCCGCCCTGTTCTCTCGGTATCTCCTTCGCGGCTATTTTGCCTTTGCTATCTTCTTCTTGGCGGACTCTGCACCTTTCTCTCACGGACTCGTTTGGCCTTTGCTTCTTTCTTCTTGTTCTTGGGATCCCTCAAGCCTTTCTCTCCGGGCTTTTTTTGCCTTTGCTTCTTCTTCTTCTTCTTGGAGTCCTCTGCAGCCTTTCTCTCCGGGCTACTTTGCCTTTGCTTCTTCTTCTTCTTGGGATCCTCTGCAATCTTTCTCTCCGGGCTACTTTGCCTTTGCTTCTTCTTCTCCTTGGGATCCTCTGCAGCCTTTCTCTCCGGGCTATTTTGCCTTTGCTTCTTCTTCTGAGGGATCCTCTACAGGTTTTCTCTCCGGGCTATTTTATCTTTGCTTCTTCTTCTTCTTGGGATCCTCTGCCGCCTTTCTCTCCCGGCTACTTTGCCTTTGCTTCTTCTTCTTCTTGGGATCCTCTGCAGCCTTTCTCTCCGGGCTACTTTGCCTTTGCTTCTTCTTCTTCTTCTTGGGATCCTCTATAGCCTTTCTCTCCGGGCTACTTTGCCTTTGCTTCTTCTTCTTGGGATCCTCTGCAGCCTTTCTCTCCGGGCTATTTTGCTTTTGCTTCTTCTTCTTCTTGGGATCCTCTGCAGCCTTTCTCTCCGGGCTACTTTGCCTTTGCTCCTTCTTCTTCTTGGGATCTTCTATAGCCTTTCTCTCCGGGCTACTTTGCCTTTGCTTCTTCTTCTTCTTTTTGGGATCCTCTGCAGCCTTTCTCTCCGGGCTACTTTGCCTTTGTTTCTTCTTCTTGGGATCCTCTGCAGCCTTTCTCTCCGGGCTACTTTGCCTTTGCTTCTTCTTCTTCTTGGGATCCTCTGCAGCGTTTCTCTCCGGGCTACTTTGCCTTTGCTTCTTCTTCTTGGGATCCTCTGCAGCGTTTCTCTCCGGGCCACTTTGCCTTTGCTTCTTCTTCTTCTTACTGGGATCCTCTGCAGCCTCTCTCCGGGCTACTTTGCCTTTGCTTCTTCTTCTTCTTGGGATCCTCTGCAGCCTTTCTCTCCGGGCTACTTTGCCTTTGCTTCTTCTTCTTCTTGAGATCCTCTGCAGCCTTTCTCTCCGGGCTCTTTTGCCTTTATTTCTTCTTCTTGGGATCCTCTGCAGCCTTTCTCTCCGGGCTACTTTGCCTTTGCTTCTTCTTCTTCTTGGGACCCTCTGCAGCCTTTCTCTCCGGGCCATTTTACCTTAGCTTCTTCTTCTTCTTGGGGTCCTCTGCAGCTTTCTTTCCGGGCTACTTGGCCTTTGCTTCTTCTTCTTGTTCTTGGGATCCTCTGCAGCCTTTCTCTCCGGGCTTTTTTGCCGTTGCTTCTTCTTTTTCTTGGGACCTCTGCAGCCTTTCTCTCCGGGCTTTTTTACCTTTGCTTCTTCTTCTTGTTGGGATCCTCTACAGCCTTTCTCTCCGGGCTACTTTGCCTTTGCTTCTCCTTCTTGGGATCCTCTGCAGCCTCTCTCCGGGCTACTTTGCCTTTGCTCCTTCTTCTTCTTGGGATCCTCTGCAGCCTTTCTCTCCGGGCTACTTTGCCTTTGTTTCTTCTTCTTGGGATCCTCTGCAGCCTTTCTCTCCGGGCTACTTTGCGTTTATTTCTTCTTCTTGGGATCCTCTACAGCCTTTCTCTCCGGGTTACTTTGCCTTTGCTTCTTCTTTTTCTTGGGATCCTCTGCAGCGTTTCTCTCAGGGCTACTTTGCCTTTGCTTCTTCTTCTTCTTGGGACCCTCTGTAGCCTTTCTCCAGGCTACTTTGCCTTTGATTCTTCTTCTTGGGATCCTCTGCAGTCTTTCTCTCCGGGCTATTCTGCCTTTGCTTCTTCTTCTTGGGATCCTCTGCAGCCTTTCTCTCCGGGCTACTTTATCTTTGCTTCTTCTTCTTCTTGGGATCCTCTGCAATCTTTCTCTCCGGGCTACTTTGCCTTTGCTTCTTCTTCTTCTTGGGATCCTCTGCAATCTTTCTCTCCGGGCTCTTTTACCTTTGCTTCTTCTTCTTGGGATCTTCTGCAGCCTTTCTCTCCGGGCTACTTTGCCTTTGCTTCTTCTTCTTCTTACTGGGATGCTCTGCAGCGTTTCTCTCCGGGCTATTTTGCCTTTGCTTCTTCTTCTTCTTGGGAACCTCTGCAGCCTTTCTCTCCGGGCTACTTTATCTTTGCTTCTTCTTCTTCTTGGGATCTTCTGCAGCCTTTCTCTCCGGGCTATTTTGCTTCTTCTTCTTCTTGGGATCCTCTGCAGCCTTTCTCTCCGGGCTACTGTGCCTTTGCTTCTTCTTCTTGGGATCCTCTGCAGCCTTTCTCTCCGGGCTACTTTATCTTTGCTTCTTCTTCTTCTTGGGATCCTCTGCAATCTTTCTCTCCGGACTACTTTGCCTTTGCTTCTTCTTCTTCTTGGGAACCTTTGCAATCTTTCTCTCCGGGCTATTTTGCCTTTGCTTCTTCTTCTGAGGGATCCTCTACAGGCTTTCTCTCCGGGCTACTTTGCGTTTATTTCTTCTTCTTGGGATCCTCTGCCGCCTTTCTCTCCCGGCTACTTTGCCTTTGCTTCTTCTTCTTGGGATCCTCTGCAGCCTTTCTCTCCGGGCTACTTTGCCTTTGCTTCTTCTTCTTCTTGGGATCCTCTGCAGTTCTTGGGATCCTCTGCAGCCTTTCTCTCTGGGCTATTTTGCTCTTGCTTCTTCTTCTTCTTGGGATCCTCTGCAGTCTTTCTCTCCGGGCTACTTTGCCTTTGCTCCTTCTTCTTCTTGGGATCCTCTATAGCCTTTCTCTCCGGGCTACTTTGCCTTTGCTTCTTCTTCTTCTTTTTGGGATCCTCTGCAGCCTTTCTCTCCGGGCTACTTTGCCCTTGTTTCTTCTTCTTGGGATCCTCTGCAGCCTTTCTCTCCGGGTGCCTCACTTTTTTGGCCTTATTTCTTCTTCTTGGGGGTCCTCGTGGCAGTCTTTCTCTTCCTCTCGCGGGGCTACTTTTCCTTTGCTTCTTCTTCTTCTTGGGATCCTCTGCAGCGTTTCTCTCCGGGCTACTTTGCCTTTGCTTCTTCTTCTTCTTGGGATCCTCTGCAGCGTTTCTCTCCGGTCTTTTTTGCCTTTGCTTCTTCGTCTTCTTGGGATCCTCTGCAACCTTTCTCTCCGGGCTACTTTGCCTTTGCTTCTTCTTCTTCTTCTTCTTCTTGGGATCCTCTGCAGCCTTTCTCTCCGGGCTACTTTGCCTTTGCTTCCTCTTCTTGGGATCCTCTGCAGTCTTTCTCTCCGGACTTTTTTGGCTTTGCACTTGCTTCTTCATTCTTCTTGGGATCCTCTGCAACTTTCTCTTCCGGTCTACTTTGCCTTTGCTTCTAGCGTCTTCTTGGGGACTCCTCTGCAGTCTTTCTCTCCGGGCTATTTTGCCTTTGCTTCTTCTTCTTCTTGGGATCCTCTGCAGCCTTTCTCTCCGGGCTACTTTATCTTTGCTTCTTCTTCTTGGGATCCTCTGCAATCTTTCTCTCCGGGCTAATTTGCCTTTGCTTCTTCTTCTTGGGATCCTCTGCAGCCTTTCTCTCCGGGCTACTTTGTCTTTGCTTCTTCTTCTTCTTGGGATCCTCTGCAGTCTTTCTCTCCTCGCTACTTTGCCTTTGCTTCTTCTTCTTGGGATCCTCTACAGCCTTTCTCTCCGGGCTAGTTTGCCTTTGCTTCTTCTTCTTCTTGGGATCCTCTGCAGCCTTTCCTTTGCCTTTGCTTCTTCTTCGTCTTGGCATCTTCTGCAGCCTTTCTCTCTGGGCTACTTTGCCTTTGCTTCTTCTTCTTCTTGGGATCCTCTGCAGCCTTTCTCTCCGGACTACTTTGCCTTTGCTTCTTCTTCTTCTTCAGCTGGATCTCCTGCTGTGTCACATACATGTCCGAGTAGCCCTGATAGCCTTGGGATCCTCTGCAGCCTTTCTCTCCGGGCTACTTTGCCTTTGCTTCTTCTTCTTCTTTTTCTTGGGATCTGCTGCAATTTTTGCTCTCCGGGCTACTTTGCCTTTGCTTCTTCTTCGTGCGATGCTCTGCAGCCTTTCTCTCCGGGCTACTTTGCCTTTGCTTCTTCTTCTTGGGATCCTCTCTCTGCAGCCTTTCTCTCCGGTCTATTTTGCCTTTTTTTCTTCTTCTTCTGGGATCTTCTGCAGCCTTTCTCTCCGGGCTGTTTTGCCTTTGCTTCTTCTTCTTGGGATCCTTTGCAGCTTTTCTCTCCGGACTTTTTTTATCTTTGATTCTTCTTCTTCTTGGGATCCTCTGCAGCCTTTCTCTCCGTGTTACTTTGCCTTTACTTCTTCTTGTTCTTGGGATCCTCTGCAACCTTTCTCTCCGGGCTATTTTGTCTTTGCTTCTTCTTCTTCTTCTTGGTGTCCTCTGCAGCCTTTCTCTCCGGCCTCTTTTGCCTTTGCTGCTTCTTCTTGGGATCCAATGCAGCCTTTCTCTCCGGGCTACCACTAGTTTGCCTTTGCTTCTTCTTCTTCTTGGGATCCTCTACAGCCTTTCTCTCCGGACTATTTTGCCTTTGCTTCTTCTTTTTGGGATCCTCTACAGCCTTTCTTTCCGGACTTTTTCGCCTTTACTTCCTTCTTCTTCTTGGGATCCTCTACAGGCTTTCTCTCCTGGCTACTTTGCCTTTACTTCTTCTTCTTCTTGGGATCCTCTACAGGCTTTATCTCCTGGCTACTTTGCCTTTGCTTCTTCTTCTTCTTGGGATCTTCTGCAGCCTTTCTCTCCGGGCTATATAGCCTTTGCTTCTTCTTCTTCTTGTGATCCTCTACAGCCTTTCTCTCCGGGCTACTTTGGCTTTGCTTCTTCTGCTTCTTCTTCTTGGGATCCTCTGCAGCCTTTCTCTCCGGCCTATTTTGACTTTGCTTCTTCTTCTTGGGATCCTTTGCAGCCTCTCTCTCCGGGCTTTTTTACCTTTGCTTCTTCTTCTTCTTGGGATCCTCTGCAGCCTTTCTCTCCGTGTTACTTTGCCTTTGCTTCTTCTTCTTCTTGTGATCCTCTGCAGCCTTTCTCTCCGGGCTATTTTGTCTTTGCTTCTTCTTCTCGGGGTCCTCTGCAGCCTTTCTCTCCGTTTTCTTTTGCCTTTGCTGCTTCTTCTTGGGATCCTCTGCAGCCTTTCTCTCTGGGCTACTTTACCTTTGCTTCTTCTTCTTCTTGGGATCCTCTGCAGCCTTTCTCTCCGGGCTATTTTGCCTTTGCTTCTTCTTCTTCTTCTTGGGATCCTCTGCAGCCTTTCTCTCCGGGCTAGATTGCCTTTGCTTCTTCTTCTTCTTCTTGGGATCCTTTATAGCCTTACTCTTCGGGCTAGTTTGCCTTTGCTTCTTCTCTTCTTGGAATCCTGTGCAACCTTTCTCTCCGGACTATATTGCCTTTGCTTCTTCTTCTTCTTGGGATCCTCTGCAGCCTCTCTCTCCGGGCTACTTTGCATTTGCTTCTTCTTCTTGGGATCCTCTGCAGCCTTTCTCTCCGGGCTGTTTTGCCTTTGCTTCTTCTTCTTGGGATCCTCTGCAGCCTTTCTCTCCGGGCTACTTTGCCTCTTCTTCTTCTTCTTGATATCCTCTGTAGTCTTTCTCTCCGGACTACTTTGCCTTTGCTTCTTCTTCTTCTTCTTGGGATCCTCTGCAGCCTTTCTCTCTGGGCTACTTTGCCTTTGCTTCTTCTTCTTCTTCTTGGGATCTTCTGCAGCCTTTCTCTCCGGGCTATATAGCCTTTGCTTCTTCTTCTTCTTCTTGGGATCCTCTGCAGCCTTTCTCTCCGGGCTACTTTGCCTTTGCTTGTTCTTCTTCTTGGGATCCTCTGCAGTCTTTCTCTTCGGGCTACTTTGCCTTTACTTCTTCTTCGTCTTGGGATCCTCTGCAGCCTTTCTCTCCTCGCTACGTTGCCTTTGCTTCTTCCTCTTCTTGGGATCTTCTGCTGCTTTTCTCTCCGGGCTACTTTGCCTTTGCTTCTTCTTTTTGGGATCCTCTGCAGCCTTTCTCTCCGGGCTTTTTTGCCTTTGCTTCTTCTTCTTGGGATCCTCTGCAGCCTTTCTCTCCGGGCTACTTTGCCTTTGCTTCTTCTTCTTGGGATCCTCTGCAGCCTCTCTCCGGGCTACTTTGCCTTTGCTCCTTCTTCTTCTTGGGATCCTCTGCAGCCTTTCTCTCCGGGCTACTTTGCCTTTGTTTCTTCTTCTTGGGACCCTCTGTAGCCTTTCTCCAGGCTACTTTGCCTTTGATTCTTCTTCTTGGGATCCTCTGCAGTCTTTCTCTCCGGGCTACTTTGCCTTTGCTTCTTCTTCTTGCGATCTTCTGCAGCCTTTCTCTCCGGGCTACTTTGCCTTTGCTTCTTCTTCTTGGGATCCTCTGCAGCCTTTCTCTCCTCGCTACTTTGCCTTTGCTTCTTCTTCTTGGGATCTTCTGTAGCCTTTCTCTCCGGGCTACTTTGCCTTTGCTTCTTCTTCTTCTTGGGATCCTCTGCAACCTTTCTACTTTGCCTTTGCTTCTTCTTCTTGGGATCCTCCGCAGCGTTTCTCTCCGGGCTAGTTTGCCTTTGCTTCTTCTTCTTCTTGGGATCCTCTGCAACCTTTCTACTTTACCTTTGCTTCTTCTTCTTCTTGGGATCCTCTGCAGCCTTTCTCTCCGGGCTAGTTTGCCTTTGCTTCTTCTTCTTCTTGGAATCCTCTGCAGCCGTTCTTTCCGGGCTACTTTGTCTTTGCTTCTTCTTCTTGGGATCCTCTGCAACCTTTCTACTTTGCCTTTGCTTCTTCTTCTTCTTGGGATCCTCTGCAGCCTTTCTCTCCGCGCTACTTTACCTTTGCTTCTTCTTCTTGGGGTCCTCTGCAGCCTTTCTCTCCGGACTCTTTTGCCTTTGTTTCGTCTTCTTCTTCTTCTTGGAATCCTCTGCAACCTTTCTCTCCGAGCTGCTTTGCCTTTGCTTCTTCTTCTTCTTCTTGGGATGCTCTTCAGCCTTTCTCTCCGGACTACTTTGCCTTTGCCTCTTCTTCTTCTTCTTCTTGGGATCCTCTGCAGCCTTTCTCTCCGGGCTAGGTTGCCTTTGCTTCTTCTTCTTGGGATCCTCTATAGCCTTACTCTCCGGGCTACTTTGCCTTTGTTTCTTCTTCTTCTTCTTGGGATATTCTGCAGCTTTTCTCTCCGGGCTACTTTGCCTTTGCTCCTTCTTCTTGGGACCCTCTATAGCCTTTCTCTCCGGGCTACTTTGCCTTTGCTTCTTCTTCTTCTTGGAATCCTCTGCAGCCTTTCTCTCCGGGCTAGTTTGCCTTTGCT